AGCTAGAACTGTACTGTACGTTCATCCACTGAGTTTATTGGCTCCATCAAGCTTAATTTTAGGTACACACGCATCAACTGCAAACATAACAGTGTCCTTGAGAAACGACCATGACTCAGCCACATTCATGTCTTTAATACAGTTCGAAATACAGTTCACTGCTTCGCGGAGTTTATCATAGTCGCCTTTCGCAAAATTCAAACGCTCACGCTTTCGAGGCGTCTTTTCTGTACAGCACTTTAGACCGAAAAACAATGATTGGTGATGGTTTTAGCCCAATGGAGCCTCGTGACGAAACTCGTCTAACATTGATTCATCACTAGGAAACACCAGCTGGTCCAGAATATTGGGAGTCTGTTTACTTCTATTATGGGTTGGCTTGGTAACGTGCTGGACTAGGAAGGTGTATCACAGACTCCATGAACAAGGATGCTGGGTGATTCTCATCTATTGGAGAGTATCGATCTGTCCAGTCTAGCTCTGGATGATTAAAATCGTGTGTGACCTGCTGAAAGTCATAACATAACATATAACATATTGATCTCGGCGCTGAAGGGTAGGCCTGATGTGGCCTGTCGCCGATTCTTTTCCTTTTCGTGCCTTGTTCACAGATCTAAAATCGTGTCATTTGACAGAATATTTTCATGGCTGACGATAGTTTGAAGTAGCTACTAGACTTCCACCGGGTTCGATATTGTGCTAGGCATTTCAAATCTGAACATATATTTTTCCATAGCTTTATCTAGTCTGTTCTTGAACGCATTCATATTCGGAGCGCCAACGATGTCATCGGGGAGGCGGTTCCACATGTCGGTAATTCGAAGCGAGAAGAAATTTTGTCGCGTGTAGAAGTTGCAGCGCAGTTTTTTTAGTTTATAGCCGTGGCCCCTGGTGTTGGTTCTTGTTTCAAATTCTAGTAATCATTCGGGGACCTTGTATAAACCATGAGTATACTTATATTCTTCAATGAGGTCCCCACGCAGACGTCGATAACTGAGGCTACGAAAACTTAAATCAATTATGCATCCCAAAAAAGTATCTTCCATCAAAACACTCGCTCAAGCCTTGAGTTCTTGGTTAAAAGTGTGAATGGTCGACCGTGGGTAATGATAGTTTACTAAAATTTGATGGCCAAGATTCAAGGAAGATTATGGGTAAATGGTCAGGGTTTTGATCGGAAGACAGTGCTAAAATTTTCGATGGCCAAGATTCGAAAGAAAATTGTTGTAAGGGAAATTTATCCTTTGTCATAGTTTTGTTGCGGTTTAAAATATTTTCTGTTCGACGGTTTACCGTTACCGGTAAAGTTGGCAATAGAGTCGCGTGTGCTGACGTAGCATCCCCGGCTGAAGTCCGCGTTAGGATACCCATTCATTTAGCTCGTTGAGACTTGGTCGGAGCGCACCTTCCTCTCACTATACTCTTGAGACTGTGTAGCGTCCCGAGTAGGTGAGTTGGAGTGGAGATAGAAGATAGGATAATTCTCTACGTGTAATTCAACCTTTGAACTTGCTAAATAAGTGTTAACCAATCCGACAATTATAAATTCTGTGTGCGTAATCCAACCTCTGGATTTACTAAATTAACAGTGTTGCTATTTATTCGTGTAATTAGACTAGCTCACCATCATTGTTCAGCAGGATCGATTTCTTGCCTGGCCAACAAGTACGGCTCCTACGTAGGCCGACGACTGCGGAGCATCTAGAGAAGCGTCCGCCACTTGTTCAAGTCTCTACCGGTTCCGACACCCACCGTGTGTTCACTCACAGCTGATCTGCATTTTGCCTTCAGTATATTGTGTCTTCAGTATTTTGCCTTCAGCACCTTGTTTCCCTAGTACGTGTACCACCGTCGCTGTGTACCACCATTGCTGTGTACTACCATTGCTGCGTGTACTACCATTGCTGTGTACTACCATTGCTGTGTAACCTATCGTGTGCTTAGTTTCGTAGTCGTTCTGAATTAGCTTAGTTACTAGGACCTTTTCAACCTCTCATTTGTTAGTGTTCAATTAGCTTATTTTGTTCAATAAATATTTGTATATTATGCTTTCATTTCTCCCTTGTTGAGGATCGGTGGCAGTTTTGGGTTAATTTTTCGAATCTACTTGGAGTCGTCCTTGCTTGAACTTTACAATTGTAGGTAAATGACCAAGTTTTATTCGGGGGTAGTTGGTCAATTTTGATGGTAAAGATTGGAAATAAGATAGTAAGTAAATTATCGGTAAACAATGATTTAAGCCGTTTATGCAAACTGTTGTGATAGGCTCGTTTTAGTATATCTACTCTTCTGGTTTAACCGTACACGTATTTGTTAGGTCTCATATGGTAAAGAATCGTAATGCCTGAAATCGAATGGATTTAAAAATAAAATACTTAAAAAAACTTTTTAAAAAAACACGTTTTTCTTGTGGACTAAAAAGTAGAAAATAAATTGTGGCTCGCCCCAAAAAACGTGTGTCGGGCAGATTTATGATTAAAGCGAAAAGCACACAACACACGAATTTTGGAAATTTGATGGTGAACGTACAAATGTATGAACGTGGATCTCAGGGCAGCGGCAAGCGTCTTGTGGAACGTATACCACTGATTGGTTGGTTTATTGTCGGCCGGTATCAAGTAAA